CGCCTGCAGCTTCTCCCTGTTGGCTACAAAAGCAGGCAGGGATGTTCTCCACGGACCAGAGGCCCCCGCCTGGGTCGTTCCGGAGCCGAGAGGAGAGCGCGGTGCCTGTCTGACCTCACAGCGAAGTCCGTCCCTCTTCTCCAGTCGGGCCTGGGCGCTGCCGGGGAAAGGAGCTTTTGCCCTTGAAAGGGGAGGGTTGCATCTTGCCTTTGGCAAAGCAGACGGCTGTGCAAGCAGGGTACAGCCAGGAGGCAGTTCCTCCCCACTGCAGGTCCAAAGGAGCAGGGACTCACTCGAATTCTGCCCAGCCTCGGTGGCGGTAGCGATAGGGGAAGTCTGAAAAAGAGGGACGAGCAGGGAAAATGCCCCGTGCGCTGCGTCTGGATCAGCTGTTCCGGGGCCGTTGCTGGGCAGACCGCTCATGGTTGGTGCATCTGTCCACCCTTCTCAGGGCACGGCACCGCGGAGGGTCTCTTGAGACCCGTGGAAGGGTTTGGCCTTCGCTCAGGTGGACATGGGGCACAGTGAGCAAGGACCGCTCCCACGGAAGGTCGAACCTGCCACGACCTTTTGCCAAGAGGGCTTTCTTCTTGTTACTCTCCGACAACTGCTCTGCCCTCTGGACGGCTCGCCTGTCCCATTCCTCGCGGTTGTGCCAGGGCTGGCGGGGGAGGAACAGCCTGGCAGCTCCGTTAAAAGAGCGGCTGATAAATGACAGTGAGCAGGAGACAGTCGCTAACCCCGAAGCCTCGCGGGGAGAGAGCTTGAGGATCAATAGCACCCCTTGCAAAGCAGAGGCAAAAAGCCAGGAGCCCAGGAAATACCCAGCCCCCAGCTCCGTTCCCCCCCTTCCGCCAAAGAAAGAAAAAAATGGTGACCTGGAAACCGTCTGACGCCAGCTCCCGAAGTGAGATCCTAGCTGCACAGCCTGCCAGAGCCCCGCTGAGTGTCCCGGGGCAGGTGATGGGTTGGGAAGGCCTGAGGATTGCAGTGGATGAGAAGCTGGATATGAATCAACAGGGCGCCCTTGTAGCCAAGAAGGCTAACGGTATCGTAGGGTGCATTAGGAGGAGCATTGCCAGCAGATCCAGAGAAGTGATTATTCCTCTTTATTTGGCTCTGGTGAGGCCACATCTGGAGTATTGTGTCCAGTTCTGGGCCCCCCCCCCTTACAAAAAGGATGTGGGCGCATTGGAGAGGGTCCAGCAGAAGGCAACCAAAATGATTCCGGGGCTGGAGCGCTCATGTTTTTATATTTCTCTGCCCTTTGCAGCCTTTCTTACCAACCCCGGCTTCACCGCCTGTTCTAGAAGTCGTCACCCACTAACACGCTCCCCCGAGCAAGCTAACAGAAACACTCCCACATGCTGACCTAGTTCTCTAACCTGGCAGACTGAAATAGCCACCCTGTCGGGCTGCACACCCCAAAGAGATCTTCTTTTCTTATCCCACCACTACACCGCGCCGCCTTCCCCGACCTAGAAGCCCTGGGCTCCAATATTCAGTGTATCTGCTTACTAGTTGTACACTGCACTGGCAAAGCGTGTGTCTACCTCTCCTCGAGTAGCTGGCCCACACATAGGGTCATTTAGTTCAAGAAGACAAGAGCTGTGCGGTGGATCTAAGGGGTAGAAGTCCCATCTCAGAAAGGGAGGGGCCCTTGGGGTTACAGGTTACAGAATTGATCCAGTGTTTTAATTTGTGTATTTAATAACCCACTGAGCAAACGTCATTTAAAACAGGCTTTATACTTTAAAGTTGCTAGAATGTGTAGAACAAAATCCAGGGGTTCCGCGTTTTGGTTATTGGCCCCGCATTTCTGTCGCTGGTGTCTCTCGGCCGCAATAGCTGGTTTGATGGTCGAGTGACAAATACATCCTGTTGTCAAGTTCCACTTCTTTTTGGTCTCAGAGGCATCACTGTGTTCGTCTGTCGGCAACAACGAGGAATCCTACTGCACCTAAGAGTCTAATGGTTTGGAGCATGAGCTTTCATGGGTAAAATCCATGTCATCAGATGCATCGGCGTGGAAGTTACAGGTCTGATTATTCTTTGTCACAGAGACTGTTTGGCTTGGCCACTGTGCCCCTGATGTGTTTAGGTCCTGTGATGGTGTTGCTCGTATAGATATGTGGACAGAGTTGGCACCGGGGTTTGTTCTTTGGGTCGGTTGCTCATTTAAAAATGGGTCCTGCTTTTTGCCAAATACTTGGACAGTCACATGCTAACACCCCAACAAATAAGAGAACAAAAAAAGCGACGCTAAAGCACTTCAGATAGAGAGGGAAATAGGGTCCGTGTCTCAGTTTATACTGAGTTCAGACTGCACAGTTAAGCTAGTCATTATCCATGCTGTATGTTGGGTCCTGTATGTCGCATGGCTTTGTTTCTGCTCCCCGGTTGGATGGTTGGCACTTTTTGAAGAAAATAGCAACGAGTAAACAATCAACTTTCTGTTTTGTGAATTTCCAGGGAAATAATTGGTGGTACTAAAGATGGTGAAACTCTTGGGGGTCCTGAAAATGTTCTTGCGTGGCCAAAGGCTATCGGAACACTCACAAATATTGGAAGCCTTTGGAGGGCTCGGATTCAAAACACAATCTGTGAATCAGCGTCCTGACATTTCTACTCACCAGCTGAGTGTGCGTGTCTTAAAATTATCTAGCAGATTTTCAAATCCTCTCCTTCATTGATCTCCTGCAGCAGTGAGTTCCACAAATCAGTGACTACCGCAGTGCAGCACTTGCTTTTATTTATTCAAAATTTTCCAGTCATTAAATTCTGGGGCAATGCAAGGTTGATTTTTGCTTTTTTGTGAAGACTCCCTTTTGAATGGAATAAAGCTAATTCCACTTGATTCAGCTGCTCTGCAGCCTCCAAGACAGTTTACCAGCTTCCTTTTATACTGTGAGAGATTCACATTTTGCATCCTAAATCCACCACGTTCTGCAGCTCAATAGCACAATTCAGCCCGTGGCTTTAGAAATCAGATGCCTGCATTTTTGGAAGCACGCTGCAAAGGCAAAGCCAGGAGCTGCATCCGGAGCCAGAATTTGTATATTTGGGGACTGGGGGTTTGAAGGAGCGGACAAAAGAAAGAAAAAAGGGATAGTGGGTCTGAGATGACGTTTCCAGGGAGATAATAACGATCTTGCATCTATACCTTTCATCCCATTCCAGCATTTTCAGACCTACTCTGAAATTGCTGTATAGACTACACAGGCACCGCTGCGTCCGCCACTGAAATGTAACATAGAACTTTCCCGTCCTCATATTTATATAATCCTTTCCCTTTCAAAGGATCTCAAAGAGTACACATGTTGCTGTGAATTATACCACTGAAATGCAGCCACTTCTGGGGGAAGAATCCAACAGCTCTTCCCAGTGAAGAACCATATTAACAGCTCCAGGCAGGAGCACATGCCTTCTGCCATTTGAAGGGCAGGGGAATTTTAAACAGGCAGAACTGAATCACCCACATTGCTATGTTGCCTGGACACCAACCTCCACATCTACAGCCCCTGCACACCGCACCTTGGTCACTATGGGCTGTTTAATGCCCACAGGTAGCAGCACCTCCAGTTTGTCTCCATCAAAAGGCAGCACGTTGAGCTCACTGCCGGGCCGCTGGGCATGGAATCGGTGGGGATTCGCCCTTTCAAGGCTAGCAGGCACCGGTGTCCCCTTGTGATCTGACCCGCTGCAAAGCAGGGGTCTGAGAACTTCCTCCGAGCCATTCCTGCCTGGACTAGCGCCGATCCTTCAGGCTGTTGTCCAGGCTTCAAAGCTGCCTCTGGTTGAGAGAGAACCCACTGCACTGCTTGGTCCTTTGCTCTTCTGGTTAAGTTACCGTCACCGTTAGAAGTGGGCACCCCATGGCCCATCCGAGTGGGTCTAGATTCAACTTCTAGCCATTGGATCTCGTTAGACCTTTGTCTGCTAGATTGAAGAGCCCCTTCTAGAATGCTTGTAGGGCCCTGCCAGCCACAATCAAGTCTCCTACTAACCTGCCTTTAGTTAGCACAAGTTCTTCTAGAGGTTGAATCGCTAAAATCCTTCTCTTCATTCCTTCCTCGTTCCTTTGCCCCAGCCACTAGGTCAAATGCCAGCATAACACATGGGTTATGCACACGTACACACAGGCACTCACACACATGCACACGCACTCACACTCACGCCACACGTACACACAGGCACGTGCACACACTCACACCTATGCACACGTACACACAGGCACTCGCACGCTAGCTTTTACAAGCTTCCCAATAAAGTCCCAAGTCCTGGCAACGCAGCTGCTCTGTGCTCTGTAACAAGGCCAATAAAGTTGCTATTTTGTGCTACAACTGGCAGCAGCAACCATAGCTGGTGGCCGGTGCCCGCCGTTTGCCCCTTGGCGAGGGGTCAGCCTGCTTACGCCCCACCTTTTGGGGTTGTGACAGTACCTCCCCCGAGTGGACGGGAGCAAGGCAGATTGTGAGCATGTGACGGAAATCTGGTCTCATCCGCAATGTGACTGTAGCACAACCCTGTTGTTTCCAACAAAATCTTTTTCTGGCGGCAACTGTTTGGGGTTGAAAAGTTTCTCCTGGCTCTAGTGACTTAAGCCGCAGTTGAATGAGGACAGAGAGAAGATGCGTAGATCATCTCTCTTGATGGAGACCGAAAGGAGCGAGAACATATCCATGTCCGGCATCGGTCCGTCTCTCTGCTTGGGTGGGGAGAGAAATCTGTCGTTGTGCCTGTCAGAGGCACTGAAACTGGCTGTCACTCGTGTGTAAATCCAGACTAGCTATTGACATAGCAGAGTCACTCTGGATTTGCACTGGAGTAACACAAAGCAGAATGGGTCCCTTGGACAAGGGTCTCTCTGATGGGTTAGTCCTAGATTATACCGATCCTTGTGATAACCGGGTGTGTGTGCACAATGATGTTGCTTTGGTGCAGTGTGTAGACAGACCGTTGGCACGCGTGTGTGTGAAATGAGCGTTGTGTTCCCACAGACACTGCTCTGCAGCGAGGAGGAAAGCAATACCTAGAAGGAGAGGGAACTAGGAAGGAAGGAGGTAAGCGAATTGCTACGTCTAATTAGGGCCAGCGCATTCGAGTGTTAGCGGTGGGGTGAGGCTGCCAAGCTCCCATTGATCGTGAGCGGCTCGCCCTGTTTGGTTAGCAGAATTTATGGCTGACATTACAAGCAGGGCCCGTGCTTTGTAATAGCAATTCACAGCGTGCCTGGAGGCAGCCAAATCCAGGCTGGGAAGCTTGGCCCAACAGCTGGGAGAGAGCCTCAAAGTACTTCGGCTACCTTCTCCCAGCTGCTGCCCTGGGGGTTCTCCCCTCAGCGGTCGCAAGCCGCAAGCCTGGCACGACGGGGGGATGTTTTCACGTGCCCGTGAGGTGCGATTTTCACTGGGAGCTGGCAGTGGGATTCCCAGCTGGCGCTGATGGCGGAGATGGCTCCTAAATTGAAGCCAGGATCCAGTAGCCTTCGTGAATGGCTTTGGGGCAGTTCTGAGCTGGCGCCAGGGTTGTGGCTAGCCCCCTTCGCATAGGGTATGTCTACACTGTGGCTACACGCGGCACGGAGTAGGTAGTTTGAATTAGGCTCTCTAATTCGAACTACTTACTCTGTGCCGCACGTAGCCGCGGGCACGGAGTCCGCACTAAGGGGGATTTAAAAATGGCAGCGCCCGGCAAGATGCAAATGAAGCCCGGGATATTTAAATCCCGGGCTTCATTTGCAACTTCGGATGCTTACATTAGCCACCCGTGTTCGAACTAGGGTGGTAGTGTAGACATACCCATACAGATCCAAAGCCCAGATCTCCCTGCAATTGGGAGATGGCTACGTTCAGGTTCCGTTTTGGGCCTGACCATTGTGCTTAAAGTCGAAGCTCAAAGCTGAGCCGCACCGTGGGGCGGATGGACCTCGTGCATCAGCTCCTAGAGGGAGGGACTCCGTTAGTCACCAGGATGTAGGTGTTTCCAGTGGCCCATACAGTCCACGGTCCTGTTTCTGACAGGGACTAGCTGTAACTGCTTTGACGCATCTATTAAGTAGCCATAAGGAAAGCTGTGAAGTCTAGTGGCTCATCTTGCAAGCAGGAGACATGGGTTCAGTTCCTTCCTCCGACCTGCTTAGGCAAGTCACTACTCAGCTCTGTGCCTCAGTTTCCCTTCTCAGTCCTTCGTTGTGGGCTGTAAGCTCTTTAGGGGAGCAACAGTTTCTCACTGTGTTGGAATGGTGCGCATCACAATGAGGGTCTCTGGGTGCAACTGAAATACAAAGTCCTGAATAAGCATGGACAAGCCAGGAAATTTCATGTCCGGGAGGAAAGCTTTTTGCTCCCACCCAGCACTCAGAGGTTGGCTTGTGCTCTGAAGCTGGAGGGTTTAGCTCAGGTCACATAATTATTCATGTAAGCTTCTCCTCCTGCAAAGTTTGTGGCACGAGTGATGCCTAGTAGCAGTGAGTTCCGCAGACCAATTTTGTTCTGTGTAAAAAAAAAAAAAAAAAAATCATCCCTTTAAATTTGTTCTAAATGCATTGCTTTAATATCTTGTCAGGCACAGCGATTTCCCAGCAGACCTATTTATGTTTGACACCAAAGCTGAGCAAATAATTTATAGTGAGTAATTTCTACAATGACCTCAGAATTTTCTCTTGCTGAATTGCTTGTTAGCAGTTTGCAGGATTCATGGATAAATTCAGTACGTGAAGGAGTGTGCTTGTGAGTGGCTGACTGTGACTATTTTAGATTCAGAATTGAGGCCGTGTTGGCTGGTTCTTACTGGCCTCATAGGTCATGGGGGTTTTTTCGGTTCCCTGTTTGAATGAATCAGGCAATTGATTGGTTCAGAAATTGCTTGGCTTGAAATTTCCCAGGTCTCCACACAAACTTTCCTGCCCCTTTTCTACGGGCAAGTGAATCTGGACAGACAAGCCGCTTGCTTGTTGGAGCAGATGTTCCAAGGGAGGTGTGTCACTCGGCCAGGTTTTGACACACTTAAGCGGCTCTTCCCGTCCCAGGGGGTCAGTGCGGCCTTTTCTGCTGAGCTAGAAGGTGGCGTTTTGCCATTAGGTGACGTTTTGAGGGGGGCGACTGCCCTGTTTAACGTCCGGATGCCTGGGCAATCTGACATTACCTCCCCCCGCTGACATGGCCGGGGGGCTACCGAGCCACGGAGCTGTCACTGCACGTCAGCGTTCCAAGGCTGCCGGCGCGTTTTCAGGACTGGCTGCGCAAGGATCTCGTGCAGGGCTGTTTGAGCGGCAGTGTTCCAGGCCGGGCCCTCTATAACTGCCAATTGCTGTGCGCTGATTTCTCGAAAGGCTTCGCGGCCACAGATACGTCAAGGCAGCAGTTATCTGTGCAGAGCAGGCGCACGGCCCCGGGAGCAGAAGTCATCTGCTTCGGCAGCAAAAGAGCCAGCGTGGACAAAGAGCCCTGCAATCAGAGCTGCTGGCGTCCATCCAAACCAGGCCCAGCAGTTGGAGAGGGAGTGCGGTGCACTGGTTAGAGCTGGCACGGCCTGAAACAGTGTGAATTTTGAAGTGGTTTGGTTGCCGACATTTTGAATCTTAATACGCCCTCCCCCCCCCAGAAAGTATTTTTCTCCCAGAAATGTATCCTGTTTATAGAGGCGCACGGCATTTTCGGAATTTTGACATTCTGACAAAGAATGTAGTTGAATTTCATGACCAAAAATGGGATGAAATTTAGGGGGAATTTTCAGGGGAATTAAAAATCCCGTTTTTGAACAGTTCTAGTTAGAATCCAGGCCTGAGTCGGGTTCTCACTCCAGGGCTGTCATTAATCGATCAGAGTACAGGGGCTGGGTGGCAGAACGCACGGAGCGACGGGCACCCGTCTCCCCGACCCCATTGCGAGGGCCTTTGACAGGAATAGCTCCGAGCCTTCCTGCGTTGGTGCAATGGCAGCTCCATGCTGCTGTAACCACGTGTCAAAACACGTCCCCACCGGCCTGCGGGAGCCAGGCAGTGCACTAACGAGCCTGATCTCAATTAATCCCGCAGCCCCGGGGTTAGCACAGCTGCAGGACGCTTCAGTTTTTGGAACTTGACAGTGTCCCCGTGGGGGGAAGGGTCCTACCACTGGCCGACCTGAGCATCCTTCCAGGAGAGAGACAGCCATAGATTTACCAGCTTGACAATTGCTTCTGTCCGCTCTGGAAAGCTGACACGGGGAGGGATTGCACAGGGACTCTCCAAGAAATGCCCAGAGCCGGCGTGCATGCGTCTGTGAGTCTCTCCTGAGCTGAAGGCCCCTGGGTGCGGGTACAGGCCCTGTGCTCTAGGACGTGCTGTCTTAGTGGCGGCGACATGAAACTGAGCTCTCCGAACCTGTGGTCTTGAAGATGCAGTTTGCCAAAGCAGCCTCTTAATCCTGGTGTCTGGCCCAAACCCAACCTGAGTGACTCCGTTCGGCCGCTTTCCATTTCCTCGGTTTCACCTTCCTGTCCTAAATTGTCGCTCGCGGCTGCTGCACGGCTGCCGCCCCACCTCCGAAGTGGCTGCATTTCAGCGGTGTTTGTAAATGCCCCGGGAGGAACGGCGTTCTGTGAATGGAAGCTCGCCCTGCTGTAGGACTGGGCAGGGGCCCGAGAGGGCATTTTGCAGCGTGGCTGGAAATGCGAAGGGCCCGCTGGCAGCTCTCCGAACGGACAGGCCTGCCCGAGTGCATAGCAGAGTCCATCTGGGGCCGCGGCAAATTGTGTTTGTGCCGCATTTCTCTGCACAAAGCTCTCGGTCACTAGGAGAGCCTGACAAAAGGCTCCTTGTTCGCGTCCTCCCGCGGGTGCCAGTCCCACAGTGAAAGCAAACGCGGATTGTGTGTCTCTCTGGAGGAGTATAAAGCTTCCCCAAGCAGGGTTGTGTCCTGCCCAGAAGCACATGTTTGGCACCGCGAACAGTCCCGTTCCTGCTCTGCAGCTTCCCCCCCTGCGGAATCAAAGGGGGGCTCGTAAGCGCCTCCGCTCTGCCTCTCGCGTGCAGGCTCGGACACGAGGCTGGCGGAGGAGTCCGCGGATTGTGTGTCTCTCTGGAGGAGTATAAAGCTTCCCCAAGCAGGGTTGTGTCCTGCCCAGAAGCACATGTTTGGCACCGCGAACAGTCCCGTTCCTGCTCTGCAGCTTCCCCCCCTGCGGAATCAAAGGGGGGCTCGTAAGCGCCTCCGCTCTGCCTCTCGCGTGCAGGCTCGGACACGAGGCTGGCGGAGGAGTCGCCGGACACTCGTGAGGACGCACGGCCCGTCCCTGGGGGACAGCGGGGTTTGGAGAAGCGGGCAGGTCTCCCGGCCCGAGCAGACATGTCCTGGCTCTGCGTGCGAAGAAGTGCCGGGAGCCACAGGCGGGGGCTCCCGGGC